GTGCAGTGGCACACACCTATAATTCCAGTGACTCAAGAGGCTAACGCAGGAACATCACAAGTTTAAGGCCAGCCTCCTCCCAACTTAGCAAGGCCATCTCAAGATAAAAACAACTGGAGATGTAGCTCAGTGGTAAAGCACTCCTGGGTTCAGTCCCCAGTACCAAAAAAAAAAAAAAAAAAAAAAAAAAGGAGGTGGGTGGAGAAGAATGGTCCACACCTCATAGGGTGTGGGGGCCAGGTGTGTACACTGGTAGCACTTAGACAGTGCCTGCCAGGGAGTGAGTGCTGTATTCCTGAGCCACCTTAGAATCCTTTAAGCCATTCTTGAGAATGAGGACAGGAGTCAGGAGGAGGGGCAAATCCAACTCTAATTCTCTCTTCTCTCCCCAAGGAGCCTCCAGGCAGGCAGCAGTGGAAGGAGCAGCTGCCTCCTCGGCATCAGGAAGAGTCCTGCCCTTGAGCTTCTTGCCCTCAGAGGGAAAGAAGTATCCCAGGTGCATGGGGTTGGAAATGGTGGCCTGGGTGTCACAGACCTTTCCCATGCTGACCCCTAGTCCTCCTGGGACTAAGGTCAGGTACTTAGCTTGTATTGTGGCAGTTAGGACTGACAAGGCAGCTCTAGGGATGAAGGAGGAGGGTACTGGGGACACCCAGCCCCATCTAAGACCCATCTTCCCTTGCTGGTGTCAAATAGGGACACAAGGGACTTGGCATGGGACCTCCTGCAGAGCAGGGAGAAAGAGTATCAACTGCCCCACCTGCTTCCTCTGCCAGTTTCTTCTAGGCCAAGTCCCATATGCAGTAAGGTTAGGAGCCAAGGCCCACCTGGAGAGACTGAGGGGCAGAGGCACCCACAGGCCCCTTCTCACAGCACATGTGGGTGCCTTGAGTTGAAAATCCCAGCCAGAATTTGTCAGCTGCCAGGGAGATTTTCGAAGCTTACACTGAGTCCCAGCAAGCTGCGGCCCTTCAGGCCAGGCACCCCTGGGGCCATCTACCTATCCTCAACACTCCATTGAAAAATCACCCCTGTGACAACACCTCAGCTTCCCACATTCCTGTCCTAGCAGATGTGAGTGCTCCATTCTCCTCCTGATGACCCTGATTATAAATGTCCACCTCTAGACCTACCTTTGTACCCCGTTTAAGCTCTGTAAGCACAGGACTGTGAATGAAGCCTCATTCATCTTTGTCCTCTAGTCCCTAGATCACTGCCCAGCTCATGATGGGGAAATGTTTTGGTGGTTTCCCAGCAAATGTCTGTGTACTCTGGGAAAGCTGACCAGCTGTTATCAGTCAGAGACACCCATCAAAGGTGGTAAACAGCTCTCCCCCAAATCACATACTTGCTGGCTATGTACCCTCTGCCCTAGTTGTCTCGGCCCTTTCTAACTTCCATCTGAAGTTCCCTGAAGAAGAAAGCCAGGTGTGTGTAAAGAAATCTCTCTGAAGTACCGCATCACACACACGGAAGAACAACAGGTGCTTAACGGTACACCTGGTCCCACAGGATTGTCCTCCCGCCCTCCACAGGGGTAGGGGATGGAGCTGCAGTGTTTGCCAGCTCTAGGGAGGGATTCCTTACAGAAAAATGGCAGGCRGAAGGGTGGGGGGTGGGAGGCTGTCCCTATAGAAACTTCTAGTTACTCTGGAGGTGGAGAGTCCCACCGGCTGACCTCCAGGGTGCTGTGAGGATAGGAGCCTCCACCYAGTCCCAAGCCAAGCTCAACAGTCCACTCAGGGTCCCAAGGGAAGAAGGAAAAATGTCTGCCAGTCCAATTCTCCCCCTTCCTCTGCCCTTGAAGTAGGGTCTTGCTTGTCAGGTAGAACATGCCCTTCCCACCTTTCCAGCCACACACAGAGGCGACTGTGCACTTAGCCGTGCCCACAGGCACATCTGCCCACAGGGCCAGCCAGCTGGCATGCACAGATGTGTGTATGCATACACAYACACACACACACACACACACACACACACACACACACACAGGTGCCAGGCACCCACTCTCTGACCCTGAGCAGACTATTTCCCCATACTGTGTTGCTCCTCTGCTTGCTCAACAAACAGACCTGGACTGAGTATCTCAGAGCACAGACCCTGGACCCAGCCACCTGGATCCAAGTCCTGGTCCTACCATGTATCAGCTGGCGACACTATGCTAAAAACAGCTGCCACGAGCCTTACTTACAGGGTTGCCTGTTCCGGGTGTGGTTGTGAGGAATGCACATGGAAAATGTGACAATGCCTAGTGTCAAGTGCCAGCTGTTATTGTCTTCAGAATTATTACTCTCATTGTTATTATCCTTCCTGCTCTGACATGCCAGGTATCCAGGCATCCCTACACACTCACAGCCCCCTACACTCCCCACGAACCTGCCGATGCGTGTGCTCACCAGGTGCACATCCACCTTCTAACCCACTCCCATGCTCAGCCGACACAGAAATATATACATACACGGTGACAGAATGCCACCAACCTCAGTTCTGCCCACCAACACCTCACCCCATAGACACATCATGGCCCCTTCCATGCTGAGAGCAAGACCTGAGCCCAGGCTGGCTGCATAACAGACCTATGCCTACTCCCCCAAATCTCTCTCTCACTCCCTTGGCCAGAAGTCCCCAAAGTGAAGATGGTTCCCAGAAATCAGGGAAAATCTGAAGATGCGAAAAACTTCAGAGATAGCTCAGCTCTCAGCTCCCTCACTGTGAGATCCAGAAGGGGACAGTGGTGACTGTCTGTTCCATGGTCACCAGGTAGAGATGAGCAGAGCCAGGTACAGACTGAGGCCTCTGACTTTTCTCTGGGCTTCCTCCCAACACCTGCTGTCTTTCTTTTTTCTTTTTCTTTTTTTTTTTTTTTTGGTACCAGGGTTTGAACCCAGGGACGTTTAACCACTGAGCCACATCCCCAGTGGGGATATTTTCTATTTTAAGACAAGGCCTCACTAAGTTGCTAAGACTGCCCTCAAACTTGTGATCCACCTGCTGGAATTACCGGCATGTGTCCCCATGCCTAGCTGCATGACTGTTTTGGGAGCTTCCTTGAATTCCTGGTGGCACAACCTATGATCACACCTGTCTGCTCTGCCACCTCTGCTTCCTGGCTTATGACAAGTGTTCAGGGAGTGAGGAATGAGGAAACAGGGAGCCGGAGGCATCAAACAGACCTTGATCCTCTCCTGCTTTCCTGGTGCCAGCCGTGATGGGAACAATGACCAGGTCCCAACACAGCTGGGCCAGTCCACATCCTGCCAGGGCCAAGCCTCCAACTCAAGCCAGCTGGTACCTCTCTGGGTAGAGACGCATAGTCCCCATTTTTGAGCCCCCAGTGTACAGGGAAAGGCCAGGGGGTATACTCCCCAGGATCCTGGTTCAGAGATCCTCTCTTCTAGCCAGGACCTCCACACAGGGATGGTCCCATGCCCACAGCTGCCCTTCCCAGGGGACCCATGTGATCTCAAACCAGGCCTCCCATCTGAGCAAGGGGCAGAACCGGCCCACAGCCCTGCACCTCGGGTGCACGCCCCTACATGGACTATCCAGTGGAATGGGGCACTGCCCCCGGGCCCTTCCAGCATCACTTTCATGGCTCTCCCCAGCCCTTCTGAGGAGTTGTAGAGTCCATTTGGCATACAGTATAAGAGTTTATGTCTACTTTCCAGGTCAGAAGTCAGCCTCCACCCACCACAGAGAAGCATGGCCAGGCCAGTGGCTTCTTACCTATTCTGAAGCCCTGTCCTTGTCAGAAAAAAATAACCACAATACCATGAGACATGCTCAGACCCTCAGCCTCGCATTTGAGATTTGACCGCCATCTGGTCCCTCCCTGCCCTTGCCATCTTGTCCCTCAGTCCGCCCACACAAGAAGGTAACACCACAGTAAGGCTGGGCCCTCCCAGGGCCCTCAAACACACCCACCACTGTGCCCGATCTAGAACTGCCTCCACTGTCCCCACTGTCCCCTGGTTCTTGGGGCTGTCACCTGCAGTGAAAGCTTCACTGACAGTAGAAACAGCCTCCTCTTCACTCCTTGTCAGCCCTCCCTTTCCTGATTTTGGTGACCCTCTGCTCCTCATGCTCCACCATACTCTGTCCCCTCTTCCGTCATTATTAAGGGCTCCCTTCTTCTCAGTCATCTAGATGTGTTTCCTAGCTTCTGTCCTCATGCTTCGGTCTCCCCACCCTGCACAGTCCTCTTGGGCGACATCACCCATTCCTATGGTTCTCAGAACCTGAACTCTGAAACTCCAGGTAAGCTCTCTCTCCTGAGCCTCCGGTGCCTCCAGGCAGACATCCTTCAGATATTGGGAGCTTGTTATGTCAAATTCTGCACTCCATCACGGCACGGCAGCCCCCCCAGAGCCCTGGGCATCCGCCAAGACACCCCTCCCCATCTTCTGCTCCATCACGGCCCTTCTGTCCTCTCCCCAATGCCTCTTGGCTCTGTCCACCTTGCCCCATGTCCACAGTGCCCACCCCATCCAGGCTGCCAGTGTCTCTCCTGCTACTGCCTGTCAGGTGGCCTTCCTGCCTCTAGAACCCATTTTCCACACAGAAGCCAAAGAGATCATTCAAAAGTACCAAAGTGATCATGCCACACTCCTGTTTAAAAGCCTCGGCTGGCTCACCACCCCCTCCATGGTGCCCACAGACCCTGTCTCAAAGCCCAGCTGCTGCCACGTGCGGTGCATTCTGACTGCCACCTCCAGGCCTTTGCACATGCAGTCCCTGGACCTGGGAGGCCTTTCTCCTGTGTTGTCACCTGGATATACTGCTCACAACACAAGACTCAACTCAGAACTTGGAGGGCACTTCCTCTAGAAGCCTTGCCTGCCCCTGAGGCATGGTCTCGGGCCCTTACACCTGTTTATCTCATCACGCCTGAGACTGCTGGGTTCCCTGGCAGCAGGGGCTGCACATAGAGCACTTCAGGCCTGCACACCAGGACTCGAATGAATCTGGGGACAGGAAGTGGGGTGCAAGCCCAACCTTACCTGTCTCTGTGGGCCTGTGGGATCCGACTCTCTCCGTCGAGGGCGAGGTCCCGAGTGCAGGGGCGAGTGGGAAGGGCTGCCAGGCGTTGGGGGCTGTGATGTCTCTGACCGGCCATCAGCCTGGCTCAGCTGAGGTGGTGGGGGCTGAGGCGGCATCTGCCGCAGGTCCTCCTCAGCTAATGTCTGCATACTGCGTCCCCGGGGCCGAACACTAGGCTCTGTCCCCGGCCGCCGCCGCTCCTCACCCTCCTCAGGCAGTGGCCGCAGCTCCTCAGGCTCCTCATCTGTGGTGCCCGATGTGCTGGGCTCAGCCCCAGGAGGGAAGTCCTTGAGCTCTGTCTCCTTGTCAATGATGACCCACTCCTTGCTGTCAAAGTCCTCCTCCTCGGCCAAGGGCACCGAGCGGAAGGCGTTGCTCAGGGCCTCCTGCTCCACGGAGGCTGACACGTCCATTCGGCCACTGGCCTGCCGGTCAGCATGGCCCGTGTCCACTGAGAGCATCTGAGCCGGCTGTGAGGAGCAGGCCTGGCGCGAAGGTGAACCAGGCAAATCCATTCGGGACCTGTGGAGCACCCACATAAAACTCAGTGCCAGGCCTCTCTGGAGCCCCAAGGATCCCAAGCAGGTGACAGGGTGGAGTAGGACTCCTGCTCCTGACTCAGCACCTCTCCCCCTCTGGGCCAGGCCCAGTCACCTCCTGCACTGCCACCCTCCACCCTTACTTCCTAAAAGACTTCATTAGTTCCTTTGTTCATTCATTTAGCAAATACTTCTGAATGGTTACTGTGGTCCAGGAATGTACACATGCAGAAAATCTACTCTGGTTTCTGTACCTAAAGAACACTCGCTGTTCTCCAGGCCTCCCCAGGGAATCTAACCTTCCTAAAACCAGCTGATCCAGTGCTCCTGCTGTATCCAGGGCAAACACAAACAACAGACAGCTTTGGAGCCTTTTCTCCCGCTCCGCTGCAGGCCTGCCTGGCTGCTTCCGCTCATTCCAGGAAGGGCCTGTTAGCTCAGCTTAACAAACTCCTCAGCCCCAAGAACCAAGTCTGCCTTCCTTAGCTTGGCTCTCAGGGCCCTCCCAACCAGGCTAGGCCTCAGTTTCTCCATTCCCTAGCCAGACCTATCTCAAATTCACTTTTCCTAAACTGCCCACACTCTCATACCTCTATAACCTTACATATGCTGCTCCCTGCACACAGCCTGGACTCCACTTGGCCTCCCTCCCACATAGCCTGTCCCTCTACCTTTTTTTCTGTGTTTGGATGCACCTCTTATAGGGAGCCTTTCCCATCCTGTAGGGAGGGTTATTTGCCTCCAGAGCACCCTGAGCCCCCCTCACTACTGGACTTCAACTATCTGCCTTCCCATAAGGCTGTGAACTCTCAGGCATGGACAGACTCCCTCTAACCTGTTACCTCTGGGGCACGATCCAGCCTTGGGACATCTCTTTGTTATTACTTTGAACTGTACTGTGAATCTGTGAGTTCTTCCAGAGCTTCTCAGTGTGGGGTGATGCCAGCCCCAAGATGAGGTTACTTCTGGTTATACAGTAGTGTGTGTGGAGGGACAGGATGCTATGCAAGAAAGAACCGTCATCTGCTGAATGCCGGGATACCCCTTTGAAGACCCCAAGGTCTAACTCAGCTGGGGTTTGGACTCTCTTCTCATATTTGGCTGTGGGCAGAGGGCTGACTTTAATTCTCCCCCAGCACCAAGCCTGTGTGTGGTTCAATGGCTCTTTAGCTGCAGAGGAGGGGTGCAAAACAGACCACCCTCAGCCTTTCTCAACATACTCCTGCCCAGCTTGCATAGAAACTGCCGGATCCAATTCTACTCCRTATTTTTTATCAATCTGTTAGTGAGACTTAAAATAAAACACCACCCAGTGTCTCATATTTATATACCCCTGTCAATGGCGGTCATCACTTCTTTTCTTGAGAGCACAATTTGTTTTGATGGACATAAAGGAAAAAGATGGCATCAAAGGAAATGAGGTCTGATCTGTGTGTGCGTGCACACGTGTGTGTTTTGAAGATGGGGCCAGAGACATAGACAATCCAAACCTCTTCTTCTCCATACTTTCTCCTGCTCCCAGTGCCCCAAAAGCAGCCCACCCTCTGCCGAATGAGATCCTAAACCTTTCTGTCCAGAAACTCTCTCCTCAGCCCTCTTCTTCCCACTATTCCTAAAACTAGGGCTCACTATGACCCAAACCAGCTTGCTCATTGCTGGCCAGAAGCAGGCAGTTCTCCAGCACTGTCTTGCTCAGCGCTCCTCCCCCAACTCCACTCACAACCCTTCCAACTGCCCTTGCTCATGTCCCCACATCCAGAACTCTCCATGCTGAGGGACTTCAGGCTGAATAGCATTGAAAGGTGGTCTTTAGAGCCTGGCAGGCAGCCCGTGAGAGTGTGTGAATGAGGACTAACTTGGGCAAGTGCACACCCCACAGAGGTTCTGTGCATCTTCCTGGAGGTGGAGTACATGTAGGGGCAAGTCCAGGAGGGACTATGGCTGAGATGGGTGACAAGAAAAGATGCTGAGTGTGAGTCAGAAGGTCATCCTCCTCCACTGCAGAACTGAGTCCTGATAAGGAGATGGTCCAGGGCCTACTGTGGGGCAGAGCCCACTCTGAGGCCCCAGAAAGGCAGGAAGCATCTCACCTGGTGTTGTCCCATCTACTAACAACTCCGGTGGGGATCCAGCCCTGGCCCCCCACAAGCCACCCCACACACAAAGTCAGCCCCCAGCACTCCCTCCTACCAGCCATGTTCCTGCTGGTCCCACCCTCACTCTGACTTCAGATCCCTCAGGCCTAACCCCCCAAACTGGCCTGTCCTCTCCTCCAGCTGTTCCATGAACCCTTCTTCCAGGACCCCTACCTTCAGCTGCTCTTGAGGAATTTGTAATTAGTGATTAGGAAAGTTCTGGAAGCATGCCCACCCACCAACTCTCCCCTCCCTCCTCATGGACCCAACCTAGCATGAGCTGAGACCTTTCTGGATGCCCCATGCCCTTAACTAGGCCACCACTGATCCCAGGCTGAGTCTGAACCCAGGCTGAGCATAACTGTCAACACTTCCCAGGGACACACCCCCCGCCTCTGCCTCACACCTGACCTTTCCTGCAGACCAGCCATGTGAAGGTGCAGGAGATCACGGGGACCCTTCACCACCCCCTCCAGTCGCACACCCACCTCCTCTCATGTAGCTCCACCCGCCCATCCGCCGTGGAAAGCCTCTCCGACTCAGGGCTGTTGACCCTCCGGTAGCGAAGAGAACGCACTGGGGTTGTTGGGGAATCTGGGGGGGCACGCACAGGGGAGCTGGGGACTCCCACACCTCGGCTCTGCTCCTCCTCCACACAGGGGGTCTGCAGGAGAGGGGTGCAGTGAGTTGGGGCTGACAGGTGGCTTTCTCAGGGTGAAAGGGATAAATGGATGATGAAGCTGATGAATCAAGGTCAGGGTGGTGGAGGGGACCAGGAAATGCAGGCAGGGCAAGAGGGCCAGGACTGGGCAGAGGGCACTGTGGAGGAACAATGTGGGGGACCCAAGGGTTGGGAATCGGGGTGGGGAGGCCACCTCGCCCTTCTCCCTGGCTGCAGTTACTTTGCCGATGTTGATGCGGAGTTTGTTGCGGTTGACATCCGTCTCCTCCCAGACTTCAGCCTCAGGACCCCCAGGGTGGGGGACAAGGTGGGGGGTAGGGCCCAGCCCCTCAGGGGGCCTCCCAGGCAGGATTGGGGGTGCATTCTCCTGGTCACTCAGGTGCTCGCCCTGTAGCACGTCCTCCGTGTTCTCCCGGAGCAGGTCTCCAGGCACTGGGGTCACATTGACCACCCTGGAAAGGCCAGGATGGGGCCATGGGCAAGGTTGGCAGGGGTGCCCTCTTCTCCCAAGGCCCCTCCTACCAGCACAGGCCCTGGAGACCCCCAAGCGTGGGCACAGAGGAGGCCTAGCGAGGAGGCATCCTAGGTTCATCACCATCCCTGGCCCACAAGTCCTCTGAGACCATATCACTCAAGTTGGCAGGGTCATCAAGGAGACCACTGGGGACTGGCATGTCCCAGTTCTATTTACTCGAGAGATTCTGTGGTTTTCAGAGGCCCTGCAGAATTTCTAATGGCCCTCAGTGCCCGGCTTCCTTTAGACCTAGGAACAGGCCTCAAAAGAACCACCTTGGAGCTCCTCAAGCAGCCTGGTTACAGAACCGTACTCCATGTGTGCTGGCAAATCTGTGGAGTCTCCCTCCTAAATGTGGCCCTGGGTTAGCCATTCTAGTCSAGCCCCTCCCCAGACCACCTGACTCTGTGCCTGCCACATGGTCCTGAAAATGCTGACCCAGCCGTCACTAACATCCAGCAGGAGCACTCTGAAGGAAGGCATGGGCTGACTTCTCTCTTAGTCCCTGTGGAGTCCCCAAGGCATGCTATGCAAATTAATGAGTGATGAGAAGGGAAACTATGGGGCTCTGGAGATTTCACTTAGGATTCCTTTTTCCCCAGGGATCTCAGGTCAAAAGCTCCAAATGAGGAGATCACCCACTCTGCTTTCAGATCAAGGACTAGAGTTGTGGCAAAATTTCCTGAAGTTCCAGAACTCTGCTGGTGAGTACCAAGAATTGGAGAGACAACTGAGCTTGTCCAGGTAGGAAGAAGAGGAGAGGGCTGGCTTCTCGGCAGGAGCTGGCCTGCTGCCCAACCTGCCATCACCCTTCCTGAGACTTACCCAAACATGGCTGCTGTCTGCCTGGTGTTCTGCTGGGGTGGGGTGGAGGTGCTCGTGGACAGGAGGGCATCCGTGCCCGCCTTCTCCCAATCAAAGGCCTCATTCTCAGCAATGCCTCTCTCTTTCATGCTGTTCTCAAACACCGACATGATCAACTGCAGGGGGTGGGGGTGGTGGGAGGACAGAGAGGTGACCTCGGGGCTAGCCAGGTAGAAGGGGCAGTTGCTGGGATCATAGGGAGAAGAGAGGGGACTTCCAGGACAGGATGGGCCTACAGGGGGCATTGGAAGGAGAAGGGCACATTGATTTTAAATGAAAACATGCACAAGATATGCAAATGAGCATGCAAATTATCATCTTGGATTAATCCCCACCAGCTGGACACAAGTCCTCTGAGATCTTTCCCTGATGACCATCCCCAAATGCCTCTGTCATTTCCACTGTCTCAGCAGGAAAATTAGCAGCCCTGAAGCACTAGGAGTTTCCACATGGAGTCGTGCTTGGCACAAGCTGTCCCTCTTGCTGGGTGCTTCTCCCAACATCCTCTTCCTGCCATCTAACTTCCCTCCCACACAGCTTCCCCTCTAATCGCTGGACAAGGGGCATCCACCTGAATCGCTCACACATCTATTTGCCTGTTCCAGCAGCAGGCCCAGAGCCCAGCAGGAGATGCTCACAACTGTACAGTCTGGAGGCCCCATGAGGCTGAGTCAGGGGACAACTCTGTCAGCAACGGGGGCCTCTGGACTCAGGAAGTAGCAGGTAGCTACAGACCCTCTGAGGCCCCCAGATCATTCCACTTCTGACTTGGGTCTCTTAAGAGTTCAAGGAGTTACTCTCTGCAGATAGTACCCACTTGCTCAAGGCCTACTGTGTGATCCACAGTGTCTGGGCTCCCCACAGGGTGCAGCACTGTCCCTGGCCCACAGTACTTTCCTGACAGCATGGCTGACACATTCCGCATCTCCCAATCAGGGTCAGTGGGTCCTATGGTGCACAGTGAGGGTGCCTCAGAAAGAGCACTGGACTTGGAGTCAGATGCACAGTCATGCAACGCATAATGGCGTTTTGGTCAACAACAGGTTGCATATGTGATAATGGCCCCATAAGATTACAGTGGAGTTGAAAATTTCCTGTCACCTGGTAAGTCATAGTTGTCATAAGGTCATAGTGCAAAGCATTACTCAATGTCTGTGGAGATGCTGGTGTAAAAGAGCCTACTACACTGCCAGTGGTATAAAAATATAATACACATAAGCCAGGTGCCTGAAACCCTAGAGACTCGGGAGGCTAAGGCAGGAGGACTGCGATTTTGAAGCCAGCCTGGGCAAATTAGTGAGACCCTGCTACAAAACAAAACATAAAAAGGGCCAGAGATGTAGCTCAATGGTATAGCACCCCTGGCTTCCATCCCCAGTACTGGAAAAAAATACAATTATGTTCTGTACCTAATATATACTTTTTATAATTATGTTATAGAGTATACCGCAACTTAAAAAAAAAAAAAGTTTTCTACAAAACACTTTGCTGAGCACCACAGTAGCAGTTCCCCTCAGGTCTGCTGTGTCACTTGTTCTCATCACTTTCTTTTGCGATTGATATAATCTCATATTGTTCACCGTGGCCCCCGGAGAAATAGGCTGTATCATGTATACATGCACACCATCCAGCCTGGGTGGGCAGTAGATACACCCTCTAGGCCTGTGTAACTGCACTCTATGATATTCACAATGACAAATTAAGAACAGATTTCTCAGAATGCATCCTTGCCATTAAACGATGTACAACTGTATCTGAGCCCAGGCCTCCTCCTCACCATGATACCACCTCAGTTTTACACCTCAGAAATGGGAACAATCATCCCATGTGGCTTCCTGAAGTTTTGGTATAAAATACTTGAGAGCACATGTATTGGAATAATAACATTGTCCAATTGTCATCAAAGGCTTCTTTTGAAGCTTGAATGGCACTAAGAACAGGGCCAGCTCTTGATCCATCTAAGCTGTTACTACTGTTTACAAGGGAGGGTACAGAACAGTTTGGTGCAGTTAGAAGACCRGAGGAAGCGCTTAGAGTCAGCTCCAGGCCTTGATGAGAATGGGCTCTGCTGAATGATGGTCACCCCCAGAGTGGTGTCCAGGGCTACAGGAGCAAGCCCCAGGCTCCCACCTGGTAATCAGGCTTGGTGAAGTAGTCGAGGCTGGCGATGTGGTCCAGGAAGAGGTGGAACTCTGAGGGCATATGCTTCAGCAGCATTCGATGCTCGTACTTCTCCTTGATCATTCCCACCTGTTCCTGGAGGCAAGAAGAGGGTGGAGAGATGGAACCCCAGCTGCCCCCACCCCTGCCTCCTTGGACCCAGCTGTGTGGGTCTCACCTTGTCCTTGATCTTCCTCCATGGCAGCTGGCCCACTGCAAACTCCACCAGCATGTAGAAGAGGGACCACAGGTCATCGTGGCGGCCCATCTCCTGTGGGGRTGGGGAAGGAGTGATTTGTAGGGGGAACAGAAGGCCTGGAATCCCTGAAGGAAAGGCAGAGGGTAACATCTGGGGGAGCCAACAGTGGAGCCTTCCTCCAAGCCAGGGCCTCCAGCAGGGTAGATACACTCCAGCCCCTGCCCCGCTCCTCTCTCCACCCTGACACCTACTCCCTATCCTGGCTGCGTACTTCGCCCCAAGCTTGCCCATTCTGCCCCCATCCCACAGCACAACCTCTGTCACTCACCCGGTTCTTGTGGGCATTGACTGATGCATAGCGAACAGTCCCCCGAAACCCGGCCACATTCCGAGGCTGCAGAGGAGAGACCACAACCAGGAAGCTCACCCTTAGCCCCTGACCTCAGCCACATCTCAGCCCTGCCACCAATAGGACCCTGATCCATTGCCTGCCTCCACCTGCCAGAGAGCAGGAAGGTTACAGAGTGTGGCTGTGACATCTGACAAGGGCCCAGTTAGGGGCAGAGGGATGGGCCGGGCTGACCTAAGAGGTGGGGGTGCTATGCTGAAGATGAGGCCAGGCCAGCTTAAGCAGTTGCAAGAAAAGTTGGTGAAGGGTCCCCACATGGGGGGGGCAGTGTGTGTGTCACTGTCCTGACAACCCAGAACTCTGTGCGCAGTGGTACTCACCGGTCGGACATCCCCTGTGGTGTTGGTGTACTGCCGGGCCAGCCCAAAGTCCAGCATGTAGCACTTCCTATAGGTGGAAGGCAGCCTGCCCATGGCAAAGTTGGACTGGAAAAAGACGAGGTATGAGCCCCGGGGGCTCCTACCCCCAGGATTCCCCAAGAAATAGCTCTGCAGCGGGGAAGGACCCCAGCCCCACCTACTCTCACACTCAAGGGGACAGCTCTATTTACATGGGTGCCGCAGGTGTGATTGTCCTCATTTTAGAGATGAGGAAGCTGAAGGTCAAAGAGGTGAGTGGGCTTCTCTGAGACCACATAGCAAGTGACAACCCAGCTAGGCTTCAAACCCCGATCTGCTCAGCCCTATATCCTCACACTCCCTGCCAAGGCAGCGTGGTTTGTGTAACTGTCCTGCTCTAAGGTAGCAGATCTATATTATTCTTGCTGTGTGTCCTTGGGCCATTCAAATAACTTTTCTGGGCCTCAGTTTTCATCCCTTTACATAGGATTTTTTTTTTTTTCTAGCACCAAGATTCAAGTTATCACAAAACTGGTTACCTGGAATTCCTTACCAAGCCCCAACCTTCCGTCTCCTTCCTTCATCTGTTTGTCCTCTCCCAACCCTGTCACCTTTCTAGGTTCAAGGGATACTCAGGTCAGGGGTGAGGAATTAAGAGGAGCAGAAAACAGAGGTGGGGGCTGGGCAGATTGTGTGCTCATGGGCAGCAGGGAGAGGAGATGGGGCTTGGGGTAGAGAGCAGGAGGGGTTTGGGCACAAGAGGCTGACCCAGCCCAACCACTGTCATAAAGAAGAAACCAGCGCCCAGAGGTGGAGAGGAGGAGCGGGGCAGGCTCACCGGCTTGATGTCACGGTGCAGAAAGCCCACGGAGTGAATGGCCTCAATGGACTCCAGGATCTGCTTGCCCAGCCGCAGCGTGGTGCTCAGCGTGAAGGTACCTCGTGGCTGGCTGCGACGCAGGTCAGCCAGGTTCCGGCCCTGGGGGTTTAGGGGCGCAGACCCGCCTCAGCTGCACCCCAACCACCACCACTGTGATGCTCTGCCCAGCCTTGCCCCATGTGCTGTTCCCATCCCGGGCTCATTTCTCAAGGGGCCATGGTCTCCCCTCCCTGCTCCCATCCCTGAGGTGCAGCCCCAGATCTTTGGAGGGAGGTTGGAGGATGCGCTGGGAGGGCTCACCTGCAGCTGCATCACGACATAGTTAAACTTCTCGTTCCTGCCACAGCCAATGAACCTGCATACGTGGTCCTTCCCTAAGGGGGACAGACAGGACCTCTCAACTCCTGCTCTTTCCTCCTCACTTCCAGTCCTAAGTGGGTGCCTGGCGCATTCTGGCTCCCACCTCCCCACTCCCTGGCCCGTGGAGGCCTCTGCCATCTCCTCCCCCTGCCCTCAGCCCCATCTTCTCTCCTACACTCTGGCTCCATCTCCTCCTAGAAGCCACAGACCCATCTCCCTCCTTCATCACCAAGGCAGCCTCGCCCCATCACTCTCTGAGACTCGGATCCCACCTCTCTCAGTCCTGAGCTCCATCACCTCTGCCCCATCCCCGTGCCCTGGGTCCATACCTTGTAATTTTTTGAGCACAGCCACCTCCATCTTGAGAACCTGCTTGGGCTGCTGGGCTGACTCCACCTTGAGGGCCACGTTCTCCCTGGTCAGCAGGTCCATGGCCTCGTAGATCTCGCCAAAGCCCCCGCCCCCGATCTTTTTCAGCTATGAGAGGAGGGAGAGGAGTCCTCAAGGATCAAACTGAGCACATGCTCATTCCATTTCTGTGCGTTGGGTCCTTCATTGATGGGGAAGGGGATATACTTGAAGGGAGGACCCCATATGTCCTGCTGTTTCCCATCAGTGTCCCCCACCTTCCCTCCTCTCCTAGTGCCTCCAGACAGACAGCTCAGTCCATAGATATACAACTACACAACTACACACACACACACACACACGCACATGTGCGCACATATATACCACACACACATACACAAGACCAGAGGTCAGAGTAGAAAAAGTTATGAAATCAGTGACTCTACACAGACACAGAGATAAGCCTGTCTATACAGAGTTCTAGAGAGATCATCGGCCACTCTGATTCTCTTCTTCTCTAAGACAACAAAGACCATGATCTCCCCGTGCTGAGCCCCCAAACAAAAGGAAAAATAATTCCAGAACCTCTAAGCCTCAGGATGGGAGCTGACACTTCCTGGGACTGTCAGTCTCCTGAAAGATGTCAACAGAGGGAGAGAATATCTGGGGGAGGGACTCAGCGAAGGGTGTCCATGACCCATGCCCACTGGAGAAGCCCACACCACACCTGAGGTCCCTGGTCAGATGCCCAAAGTCTCTTCTCCAGGGAAGGGGGTGCTGTTGAAGAAGGGTGGGAATGAGCTGTGGAGAAGACTATAACCCCACGATCTGACCCTTGAGGCCCTCTTCCTGCAGCATCCCAGAGCAGGCCGTGAGAAGAGCCGAAGAGAACCGTGATAAAGAACTGGCAGGGGAGATGAGGAGAGTTATGGAGAGGGATTAAAAATAATTTGGGGGACTGGGGTTGTGGCTCAGTGGTGGAGTGCTCGCCTAGCACGTGCGAGGCCCTGGGTTCGATCCTCAGCACCACATAAAAATAAATAAATAAATAAAATAAAGGTATTGTGTCCAACTACAACTAAAAAATAAAAACATTAAAAAAATAATTTTGGCTTCACATCTGTGATCCCAGATTCTCCAGCTACTCAGGAGGCTGAGATAGGAGGGTCACAAGTGTGAGGCCAGCCTGAGCAACTTAGCAAGACCCTGTCTTAAGATATAACTCAGTGGTAGAATGCTCTGGGTTTGATCCCCAGCATAACAGGGGAAAATCTTTTCACCTGAGAGGTCCAGGGGTCTTGGATGGGTGAAGACACTGTTGGCAGTGAAGAGGGAACAGGAAGAAGGCACTGAGTTCTATGTACAGCCAGGCCCGGTGGCACATGCCTGTAATCCCAGTGGCTCGGGGGAGTGGGGGGTGGGGGGGGCTGAGGCAGGAGGATCACCAGTTCAAAACCAGCCTCAGCAAAAGTGAGGCACTAAGCAACTCAATGAGACCCTGTCTACCTGTCTATAAATAAAAAGTACAAAAAGGCTGGGGATTTGGCACAGTGGTCTAATGCCCCTGAGTTCAATCCCCCACCAAAAAAAAAAAAAAAAGAAAAAGAATAAAAGAAAGATGTACAGCTGGCTGGGCATGGTAGCACACACCTGTAATCCCAGTGGCTCAGCAGGCTGAGGCAGGAGGATTGGGAGTTCAAAGCCAGCCTCAGCAACTTAATGAGGCCCTAAGCAAGTCAGTAAGACTCTGTCTCTACATACAATATTAAAAAGGGCTGGGATGTGGCTCAGTGGTAAAGCACCCTTGGGTTCAATCTCTGGTACCAAAAAAAAAAAAAAAAAATACAGCGGATTCTCACCTCTTCAGGGAGCCTGCCCACATGGGTGGCCTGCCCTCCCTAAGTCCTCTGTGTCCTGTTAGCTCTACCTCTCCAGTGTAGCTGGGCTCTGACAGTCCAGCAGGTAAACTCCTGAGTCTCTGCTACCTCTGCTCCTGGGACTCCAAGAATGACTGCTGAATGGTGGTTGAAGGGAGTGGAAGAAGGAAGAGCCCAGGGCAGAGCCAGCTGCAGGACTGGAATGGGAGTTCCAGAAAGTTAAAGTGAAATCACTCCAGAGAGAAAAGGGTGAAGGAAAGATTGAGAAGACAAAGCCAAAGTGGGAACACGAGGAAAAGGGAAGGACCTTGAGAGACCAGAGTAGCTTTCTGCTTGTGATGAGTTAGTCTGACTGGGAGAATTTCAGAACCAGAGGGGACTGAAGCAAACTCAAGGGACACCGTGGCATGGTTTCCTCTGGGAACTTCCAACGCCAGGGAAACACTAATGTCTTCCAGATTCCTCTATGGTTAGCTGTGTGTGAGAACCAGGAAAGGCAGGGGAAGGAGCGGCAAGGCATTCCCAGTTCACAGACAGCGGATCCCCAAGGCTTCATTGGAGAAGCAGCAGTGAGAAAGGTCACATGAGTCCCTGTTGTGTACAAAGGGAAAACAGACACAGGGAGGACAGTCGCTCACCCGGGGCCACGCTGCTAGTAACTAACAAAGCTGGGTTTCAAAGAACCCAAGCAACTGGAGGGAGAATCCACACTGGCATAGAATCCACTGCATTGTGAGAAGCCCTGAACCGTATCAGTGTGAGGGTTGAGATTCAGGCTGGGGCTGCCAGCCTCCCAAATGCTTGCTGGAGGAAAGGAAGGCAAGCTCAAAGCAGCAGAGATAGTTCTGACACCTACTCCCCAATTTCCCAGGGTGCCCAAGGGTGCTCCTGTACTGCCTTCATTCCAGACAGAGCCTATTTCTCCTTCCTTGATTCTTTTCTTACCCCTATCCTGTCAGAGAAACCCCCTCTGGTGGGGAGCTGGCAGGGAACACTCAATCAGCACCCCATCTCCACCTGCCCGATGGCTAGGGCCCACTTTTCTTTTCTCTATTTTTTTTTGGGGGGGTGTACCAGAGATGGAACACTTAACCACTGAGCCACATCCCCAGCCCTTTCTTATATTTTATTTAGGGACAAAATAATATCAAAATATCAAAATAATATCAAAAAACAAAATATCTCGCTGAGTTGCTTAGGGCCTCACTAAGTTGCTGAGGCTGGCTTTGAACTGGCAATTCTCCTGCCTCAGACGCCCAAGCCCCAGAAATTATAGGCATGCACCATCATGCCTAAGAATAATAATAGTATCAGTGACTAAGCCCCTGATACTATTTGAGATTCATGAAAATGTTTTATTTCAAAGTCAGAAGGAAAAAAAATAAATGTTTAGGTCAAGGAGAAAATTTTGATATACTATATGATTGTACTGCTTTTATTTATTTATTTTTTGTGGTGCTAGGGATATGAACCCGGAGCCTTGTGCATACAAGGCAAGCACTCTACCAACTGAGCTATATCCCCAGCCCCTGATTATATTCCTTTTATATGAATATAGTTATAAAAATAGAATTTTTAGTGCTTTATTATGGAAGGAGGAGTCATGAAGGTAAGAGTGGTGCAGGTTCATGAAAGTCATAATGCAGCCCTGCTCACAGCCCCTGACCACGAATATTCTCTCAATCCCTCTTTGCCAGACAGTGTTCCTCCCCTCCTCCTACATTTTTTTCATGAGCTCAACCGCTGATGAAGAAGCTCCCTAAACTGGAAAAGAAATTTGACACAATAGGACAAGCATTTACTTGGGAAGAAGGAGACCCGGGTTCTTGGTCCAACTCTGGGGGAACTGGGTGAATTTCTTAAACTTTTTGAGTCTCCATTTTCCCTCCTTTATAAAATGAAGAGAATCACACTACAATTGATCACAAATATCCCTTCAACTCTGTGGATGGGCTGATTTTTGGTGACTCTGTTGACCCAGCAGTCAAACAGAGCTGGTCTTGAATTTAGCAACTGCTAATCTCTAGGGCTCAGTTTCCACACCTGTGAAATGGGAGGAATAGCAGTATCTCCTGCATAAGTAGTTGAAGAAACTATGTAAGGCATTTTGCACAGCACCTGACAACAGTAAATGAGCAAAACAAATAAATACTAAGTTTTTATTGCTGTTTGTATTCTGATTCTGATGAACACCCCCAACAAGGACAAAATGTTCTCATTTTTAAATGCTCCATCTAGTGCCACTGACCCTCATATTCTCCTGGCCATAACCCATTTCTAGGCTGTTTTTTCTTGGTTCCAGAGTTCTGACTCCCATCTCAGTGACATCCTTCACTAAGGAGTGCACCTGGCTCCTCAACCTCTCCAGTTCTTCAGGGGCTGGGACGGGGGGCTGGGGGGGGGGTGTAAGGAGAAACCCTGGGCCTGGCAAAAGAGTATACTTGCTCTTCCCCAGCTTCCCCTTATCATTTCTTGCCCCACTCATACCCCATTCCCTCCCTCACAAAGCACAAGGAAGTCCTAGCCTAAACTCAGCATGTGAACACTCTTTACTCAAGCCTCAGTGTAAATGCCATTCTGCTTCCCATCTTCCATACACTAAGCTCTTGTGCTAGGGACCCGGGGGTCTTGGAGGAACACTCCTTACTTAACAGACCCTCTTTCCTTTTATGACTGTCCTGTTACTTTTCCTCTCAGGAAGTCTCCCTGAGGACATAGCTTCTTCTCTTTATCTCTCCGGGCCCTAGTAGTCTCCTCCTCTCCTCCTCTTCAGTCCCCACCCCCACCCTTTGCCTCTTTCCTGGACCTCCAGGGGACCTGAGCCGCCGGGTGACCGTTGCTATGGAGACCCGCCTGCACCCAGACCCCACCCTCCCCTCCAAAAACCAAACCCTGGGTGAGCTGATCCTCCCTCCCACCAGAGCTTGCCAGGTGCGCACGCGCGAACAGACACACACACACACACACACACACACACACACACACACACACACACGTGTAAACCTGACCTCTGTCATTCTCCTTTCCTTCCTCCAGGCTTCCCACTCCCCTGCAGAACCACAAGCTCACACACTAGTTTCCCCCACTCTACCGCCCCATATCATCTCGCCTCTATAATGATGAGGACACCAGAGAGCTCTTAAATGACTTAAATAGGACAGGGGCTAATTTACCGTAGGTTCTCCTTCCCCAGACACTGCCATCCCCCCAACCCTCACGTTGCTCCCTCCCACCCAGGCTCAAGAAGGCTCGGACTACAACTCCCAGCAGGCCTAGCAGCCTGAAGTCCTGGGCTGGATGAGCAAGGCACGCTGGGAAATGGAGTCTCGGCGTGTTGCACCTGCCGCAGGAACCGGCGAGGGAGGAGGGTGGATGGAGAAGATGGAGTGCAGATGAGGTGGGAGCTGCCCGCAAGGCCTCTTTTTCCCAAACCCAGGCCTTTCCATCCTCCGCGGAAGCGGAGGAACACATGTCCATTCACTGCCCTTCTCCAAGGTCCGGCAGAGAAAGAGGTCCCTCCCCCACACCTCCCTCCTCCGCACCCTGGGTTCTGCAGCTCCTGCCCAGACATCCAACCAGGAGTTGTTCCAGGCAGGGCCCGAGCAACGTGACCTGGCCGGGAAAGGGGGTGAGAGAGGGCGGGGTTGGAGAGAGGTACTGGGAAAAAGCGATTGTCCACACGTGTGGGCAAACAATGACCTGCAAGCAGTATGCAAATAAGCCCAGGGACACCTCCCTCTTAGGGTAGATGCTCCAAGGGCACCTGTCTTAACAAGTCTCCAGGTTCTCGCCTCCCTCTCCCCACCCCTCTCTCTGCCCCACCGGGTCACTCACCACCTTCCAGCGATCCTTGACCACGTAGTTGGCCGGCAGGATGTCGGCCTGCTCCCCTCCCCCACTCATGTTGGTTTCGTCCTTAAGAGCGGCCGCTAGGCACTGCATCCGCCAGCCCGAGGGAGGGGTGTCCGCAGGGCCTGCCCTGGTGGGGCCATCTACCTGGGGGAATGGGGGAGTGACCGTGAGCGGGGCAGGCTGCTGACCCAGAACTACCTGGCAGATTTGGAGAAGAGCTCAACTGGCAGACATCCTTTCTGGCCCACAGGGCAGATGCTATAGAGCTCACTGGGGAAGCACTCCTCCATGATGGAGGTCAGTGAAGGGAGATACTACAAACTACAGCAACAGAACACATATGTTGATGAAACAAGGAGAGGACAATGATATGTGAACAGGCAGTGGGAAAACCGTTTTACCAAAGAGACATGCTTACTAACGTGGAGAAGACTCATCAACCAAGGGATCATACTAAACTGGGACTTATGCTTGTGGTAGGGGACAACTAAGCCAAGAAGGACCAGTCTGAGTGGTCCATTGGTGATCCCCAGAACCCATATCTCCCCTGTGCCACAACATGCCCAAAGAGCTGTTCATCAGAGGCTTAGTAAAAAGGGAAGATCTTCTGATCAAGGGGYGACCAATGGGAGACCCAAACCAGAGTGACCTGCTAACCAACATGGAGATATGATCATCAAGGAAATGAGGAGATATATGACACCCCATGAGTGAAGAAGATGCAGCTGCTAAGGGGCATTCACCTTTAGTAGTGAGAGACCCACACAGCCCTGGGCTGGAAAGCCAGTGAGCTGGGGCCTGGGTGAACACAAGATGATGGGCTCAAGACATGGATTTCAGAGGGATGCCAGCCCTGTGGCCATTCTGAAGAGACAAAGCCAGACTCAAATGGGGAGAACAGGACAGTGGGGAGCAGCCTAGCAAAGGCAGGAGTGACTGAAAATAGCAGATAGGTGGGCATGAGGTGAGAGAGTCTCTGACCACATCTCTCTGGGTCTGCTCAGAAATCAACTAGAAAGAACACAGATTGAGTAAAAGGTGAATATCAGGGAGAGTGTCCCAACTGTGAGGGATGGGAAAGCCAGGCACATATTACCCAGAAAAATATGTACGTATGTGTGTGTCTCTGCATGTCTGACTGTATTGTACAGGTGTGTAGGCATGCACTTTCCAGGTCTCTGCCAATCCAGAACAGGATTTGGAACCCGAATCTTGTCCTCTCCTCTTTCCCCTACACTTTTTACATGCAGGATGCTTTGCCCTCATGGTGACCCTGGAGAGTCACACATAGAAGAGAAAGAAGTTATTTTGGTTGGGGATTGGAGATGGGAGGGAAGCCCCAGGGGAGGTTAAATCTATAGATGGGGTGGGAACCACATTAACCCAACTTCCCTCAGGATGGGATAATTTCCAGGGGTCCTGTTTCTATACATCATAATAAGGGGACAGGGTGGGAAATCCTTCAACAGGTCACGGTGTGCTGTGGCAGACATGAAAGAAGAGAATCTTCATGGGGAGCTACACAGTCATTCTTTTTCTTAAAATGACTAAATTCAGTTGTTTCCTCTAATCCACACTCTTCCCTCCCGTTGAAGTGGGATACAGAGCATCAGGAATTTGGAGGGCAGTGAGGGCAATGGAAGATGAGGTTCTGCAATAAAGGTGGAGGAGACAGATTGAGGACAAGACTAAAGAAATAATTGAACTGGTGGGGAGAGGGCCTTAAAAAGTTGAACTTGGGCTAGAGGTGTAACTCAGTGATTGGGAGCATGGTTAGCATGTTCAAAGCTCTGGGTTCAATATCCAGCAACATCAAAAAATAAATAAAGAGATGTTGAGAGCTGGGGGCATAGCACAATGTTGGAGTGCTTCCCTAGCATTTATGATACTCTGAGTTTCATCCCAAGCACCACAAAAAAGAAAAAGAAAAAAAGAAAGAAGTTGAACTGGGTGAACTCTGGTGGGTCTTCCAGTCCTGTGATGGTGGAATATGTAGGTGGATAAGGAAAATTTGTGTCCTGCTCCCATATAGATGGGCAAGCTTAAAAGGTGAAGTGGAAAAAGGGAGACCTGCTGCTCCCTCTCCACTGTCCTTCCCATTCCTGTCTACCTCAGGAGGACTACATTCAGCTTCCATGAGGGTAAAAGACACAACATAAGAAACGTGGCTGCCCCATTCCTGCGCTTCAGGCCTATCTGGACCTGTAGTGAGAAGGAGGATTTCTAATAATGTCTCTCAGAGTGTGATGTATGGGACCAGCAACGTGGGGTGTATGTGTGTGTGTTTTCTAAGTGCTTGGGAGTGCATTGTGGTATGTGAATATAAGTGTTGATGTGTAACTATGAAAGATGTGAACCAAGTGTGGGTGGGTATTTGGGAGCCCAGGTGTAAGAGGCCATGAATCAGACAGAGCCTTGAGGGGTAATGGGAACAGGTGGGAAAAGGTGTAGAAGAGAGCAGAGGGGAATGGAAGGGATCTGGAGTGACAGGATAAGAGGAGGGGGTTGGTAAGATAGAGACAAGTGAGAGATCATGATGACAGGTGAGAGATCATGATGACAGTTGAAGAAGTGACAGGACCCTAAGAGCGTTTGGGGGCAGAGTTGACGGCTGGAGAAGTAGGTAAAGGAGAATAGTAGGAGGAATGGAAGGACCAAGGACCAGGGAGAGAGGGTCTGGAGACAGCTGAATGACTTGTCAGAGGTGACAGGAGAGTCAGGCGTGAAGCCATAGGGACAAGGGACTGAGGTGAATAGAGAGGGGTAAAACCCCAAGGGGACAGGCTGGAGAGGGTGGGTCTGTGTGCGGGGGCAGGGAGCGGTTCCAGGCCTCGGGCTGCGGCCCAGGCTGTGTAGGCCAGCGTCCCAGCTCCGGCAGCGGCGACGGCAGCGGGGAGGGGGAGTCGGAGCCGGCTGCGCTGGGAGGAGAGCCAGGCCCGAGGCCCGATGAGCCCCCCAGAAGGAGCCCCCGCCCGGACCCCCGGCCGCCCGCCCGGCCCCGCCCCGCCCCGCCTCACCTGCTCTGTGCCCGCTGCGGCTGCGGCTGCGGCGGCGGCGGAGGCAGCGGCTCCGGGCGGCGCATCCCCCGTGGCCGGGGCGGGGCGGGGGCGGGGGCGGCTCAGTGCGGCGCTAGGCGGCCCGCTCCCTCCGGTGGCGGCGGCGGCGGCGGCGGTCTCCGGAACCGGACCATCCCGGCCCGGCCCGGCCCCGATCCTCCTCGGGCRACCGCGGCGGCGGCGGCGGCAGAGCGGGGAGCTGCCCACAATGCACTGCGCCGCCAGCATCAGCACCAGCCCTGACATCACCGCCCCACCGCCCGGCCTTTACATCACCGCCCTTTCTCTGACATCACGTTCCACCCTGCCTCTCTCTACATTCCTCCAGCCCTAGGACTCTCTTAGATGGATCCGCTCCAGCAAATACTCCTAACTGGTCTCTACCATTCACATGACCCCACGCCCCTGGAGGGCCCCATCACTCTTTACCTGTCCCCATAAAACTTACCTGTCTCCACCACTCTTTATCTTTCCACTTCCAGAACGTCCCTGTCACTCTGCCTCATCTAACTACCCCATTTCATCTTCCAGAGGTTCTTATTACTTTTCTCTAAAACCATTTTCCCTAATCTCCCATAAATCTCCATCAACCACCTCTTCTAAGCATCCCAAACTTGAACCCTCCAACCCTCACCTGTAATTCTCAACTCACGTCAGATATGCCTTATCTCCTGACTTAACCTCTATTTCTTTGGCACCTTCTCCCATCTGTTGAAAAACTCTGCTATTGTGTCTAATTGCTTACCAAATAAGATACACACTCTTTACTGTGACATTAAAAACTCTTCCCAACATGTGCCCATAAGGCTACTACTCCCCTTCTGACAGATGGGATTACTCAATATTCTCTGAATATACTCTGCACTCTGTCTTGTCAATTCTTCCTTCCTTCCATTGTTTATGCCTTCCACAAATGCATACTGAGCATCTTCTGCAACAACAACAATAATAATAGCAGCGGCCATTTATTTCTGCCAGACACTGATTAACTTTACACATATTAGCTCATTTATTCATTTTAACCTCCCTATGACATAAGAGTAACTATTGTTACCTCCTATTTTATAAATGAGAAAATTAAAATACAGAGAAGTTAAGTAATTTGCATTAGTTTACCTAGTTAACAAGTGATAGAACTTGGATACAAACCCAGATCCATAGTCCATGGGCCTAAGCCCCATGCTGGGGGAAAGGATCACTGAGTCAGGGCAATCTTCTCAGAGGAGGCACTTTCAATTGTAATTTGAAGAATGAGTGGGAGTTTGCCTACAGATAAATGAGACCAGGGCAGAGGGAGGGACCAACTTCCAGGAGAAGACAGCATGAGGCTAGGGATGGACATGCAAGATCATGAAAGGCCTGTGTATCATGATAACATGATTGGATTTTCTTCATTTGGGTTTTGGAAGTGAAGTGAATACTGTGATGAGATATCCATATTCCCATTTAAAAAATCTAGGTATTCAGTTTAGAGTATAACTTAGTGGTAAAACACCTGCTAGCATGTGTAACACCCTGGGTTCAAACCGCAGTGCTGAAAAAATATCTGGGTATAATTTCCCCAGCTACTTGAAGTATGGATGGGGCTGGTTGCTCTAGGATGATTCCCTCTCTGGGAATTGGAATTATCCAAGATCATGCTCCTTTCCTGGAGTATCCCACATTCAACTTATTATCCTCTGAGCATAAAGACCTTGTCTCTTCATCCTAACTTGGGACTGCTGTCTGAAATTTTTCAAAATTATGATAGGAACAACTGAGGCTTCTTTTAAAAAAATTATATTTGTTCTTTTTAGATGCACATGACAGTAGAATGTATTTTGACATACCATATATACAGGAAGTATAACTTCCCATTCTTGTGGATGTACATGATGTGGAGTTACACTGGTCAGGTATTCATATATGAACCTAGGAAAATTCTGTCCAATTCATTCTACTGTCTTTCCCATTCCCATCCACCCTCCACTGAGGCTTCTACTGAGACTGTATCAGAATTTAACTCCCTCCTCTGTTCAATATCACTTTCTTCAC